AAAACAAACAAAGCAAAAAAAACATAATATAATTTACATAAATAAGAAATCTGAATAACTCTATGTCCTTCAAGGGAATCAAATTTATAATTAAAATGTCTCTCATAAAGAGAATTCTACAAAATTCACTATTGTGTTCTACCAAATAAGGAAGAAAGATTAACAAAGTTATTTTGAGTCCAGCATGGGTCCTAAATATCAAGCTTGACAAGGACATCAGGAGAAAGCTGTAGACCAATATCATGAACACAGATACAAAAATCCTGAACAAAATATCAAATCAAATCCAGATTGAAAAAGTAACACATCATGTGCAAATCTGTATATCCTGTGGTTGCTGTAACAAATCACCACAACCAAGCATGAAACAAGAGAAATGTGTTCTCTTACAGTTCAGGAGACCAGTCTAAAATCAAGTTGTCCACTGACAACACTTTCTCTGGAGGCTCAAGGGTAGAAGCCATTCCTTGCATCTCCCAGCTTCTGGTAGCTAATGATATTCCTTGTCTTGTGGCCACATCACTCCAAGCTCTGCCTTTAACTGACCATTGCTTTCACCTCTGTGTTTATCCTAGGAATGCGAGATTGTTTTCACAATGTAATCTGGGCTGGAGGAGTGGCTCAGGGGTAGAGTGCCCACCTAGCAAGTGTGAGGCCCTGAGTTCAAACCCCAGTATCAAAAAAAAAGAAAAAAAGAAAAAAAAAGTCAATGTAATTCATCACAATAACAGCATAAAGGGGAAAAAAAACATTATAATCTCACATGAGGAAAGGGCATTTAACAAAATTCAACACCTGTTTATGATTAAAATTCTTGCTAAAATAGGAATAGAAAGCAAGGATGGTGGTACATGCTTTTAATTCCAGAACTCAGGAAGATTTTGTGTTGCACACTAGCCTGGGCTACATAGAGGACCCTGTCTCAAAAACATAACAAAGTCAGGCACTGGAGCTTGTAATCTTAGCTACTCAGGAGGTCAAGATCAGGAGGATCACGGTTCAAAGCCAGCCCAGGCAAATAGCTCCCAAGATCCTATCTTGAAAATACCCAACACAAAACAGGACTGGTGGAGTGGCTCAAGTGGTAAAGCACTTATCTAGCAAGTGTGAAGCCCTGAGTTCAAACCCCAGTACCTCCAAAACAACAATAATAACAACAAAAAACAAAAGAGGAAACTTCCTCAATTTGATGAAGGGCACCTGATAAACCTTTAACATCATACCTAAAGGTGTTCACTCATCAGATCTACTTGCATTAAAAGTACTTGCTCATGTATCAGGCAAGACAAGGAAATGAGCAGTACAGACCAATAGCCAGATATAGTGGCACATACCTATAGACCCAGATATGGTGGTACATACATACTATAGTTCCAGATACTCTGGAGACTGAGGCAGGATTACTTGAGCCCAGGAGTTTAAGGCTAGTCTGGGCAACAAAGCAAGACCCTGCCACAAAACACAAAAACCCACCAGATTAGAAGAGACAGGAAATTGAAAGTAAGAACTATCTTATCCTTTCAGAGACAACTGATCTCCATAGAGGAAGAAGTCAAAGCTCAAGCAAGGATAACTAGTTGCTAGCTTGAAAGCAGAGTACATACAATGATGGATAGTTTACACAACAGAAACTTTTTCTCACTGCTCTGGAGGGCTGGAAATTCCAAGATCAGGGCCTGGCAGATTGGGTTTCTGGCGGAACTTCTCCTCCTGGCTTGCACATGCTTGCTTCTTTTTTGGTGGTGGAATGTGAACTCAGGGATTCCTGCTTGCAAAGCAGGCTCAAGTTCTACCACTTGAGCCACACTTCCAGTCCATTTTGCTCTGGTTATTTTGGAGATGGTGTCTAGCAAACTATTTGCCTGGGCTGGCCTCCAACCTTAATCCTCCGATCCCAACTTCCCAAGAAGCTATGCCTGCTTTTTGTCCACAACGGGAAAAGGAAGAGGGAGTGAACTCTGGTTTCTTTTTCTTTTTTCTTCTTTTTTTTTTTTTGGCGGAACTAGAGTTTGAACTCTGGGCTTTGCACTTGCAAAGCAGGCACTCTAGCGCTTGGGCCAAACCTCCAGTCCTCTTTTTCTTTTTTCTTCTGGTGCTGGGGTTTGAACTTGGAGCCTCACACTTGCTAGACAAGCACTCCACCATTTGAGCCACTCCCCCAGCTGAGACCAGCTGTCTCTTCTTATAGGCCACCAATCCTATTAGTCAGGGACCTACCCTTATAGCCTCATTCAACCTCCATAAAGGTCCTATCTTCAAATATCATCACACAGGGGTCAGGGTTTCAATGCATAAATTTAGAGGGAATTCAGACATTGTTAACAGTTCTTTGTGTGAAAAAAACTTAGCACATTTTAGAAAAGTTTAAGCAGCACAGAAGAAATGTACTGAATAGATATGCATTGATATTTTCAGGCAACATTTTTGTATCTTGTATTGTCCCACCACCACCACCTTACTGGGGTTGAACTCAGGGCTCTACTACTCAATTGAGCAAGGCCCCTAGTCCTTTATATTCTTAGTTAGATGAAATGAACAGATTTTCCTATTACATTTGTGTTATTTGTCCAAGCTAGTTTTCTTCTGCTTGTTACACAAAATAATGGTATGCAAGACTTTAAAATGCCTGCCTCTAGGCAGCTGAAAGAAAGATGTCTTCTAAAGAAGATTGAGGAGTATGCTATTTGCTTAATTCTTACTCAGATGTAAATTAGTTTGCTTGTCCCTTTGGAGTGATATTTTACTATGACTTTGCAGCCAAAAATATAAAAAATAAACCTATTTTTAAAAGCAGTGATTATTTTTAGCATTTTCATTATTCATGGAAAAAAACCTGTTCATCCCTGTCATGTACAGATATGGCATATTATATGATTCAGGAATTCTGTTACAAGTGTACAAAAGTGATGTTACTGGCTTGCCATATTCAGTATCTGCTCTGTACTGGGCATCATGTCAGCTGCTGGAAGTACAGAAGGGAAAAAAACCCAGGCCCTGTCCCCATAGAACTAACACAGTCTGCTAGGGTGACACATCCTTCCTAGTTGTTTTCCTGGGAGTGGTACGGGATTTGTCCACTGATCCACTTTCTCTTACCCAGGTGGCTGTTAGAAAGGCAAGTGAGATCAAAGAACAATTTCCCAAGAGAATATCTACCATAGAAATGGCACAAAATTGAATACACAATCCATGACAACTGCGAAGCAGCCAAGTTGGACATGTGCAGTGTCTATTTTAAACAGACATGGAAATTTTGTATTTATATCACTTAAAGGTTCTTCAGTTCACTCCATGGTGCCTTTGACTACTGGAGTAAAAGTGCCACAGAATTATCACACAAGTTGGGTGCAGTAGCTCACACTTGAATCTTAGCTATTTGGGAGGCTGAGATCAGGACAACTGCAGTTCAAGGGCAGCACGGGCAAAATAACCAGCTGGTTGTGGTGGCGCACACTGGTAATCAATAAGGCAAAGAGGATGAGGCAGGAGGATCATGAGTTCGAGGCCAGCCTGGGCTACAGTTTTGGGCTGGTGGAATGGCTCAACTGGTAGAATACCTGGCTAGCAAGTAAGAGGCCCTGAGTTCAAACCCCAGTACCTCAAAAAATCAAAACAACAAAAAAAAACCCCAAGAAAATAACCAGAGCAGCTGGGCACTAATGGCTCATGCCTGTAATCCTACTCAGGAGGCAGAGATCAGGAGGATCATGTTTTGAAGCCAGCCTGAGCCAATAGTTCCACAAGACCCTATCTCAAAAAAAACTTTCACAAAAAAGAGCTGGTGGAGTGGTTCAAGGTGTAGTACCTGAATTCAAGTCCCAGTACTGGAGAAAAAAAAAAAAAAAACCCAGAGCAAAGGAAAATAGACTGTAAGTGTGGCTCAAGCGGTAGACTGCCTGATTTGTAAGCATGAAGCTCTGAGTGCAAACCCCAGTGCACCAAAGGAAAAAAAAAAAAAAGTACCATAGAGGCTTCATCCAAATAGATTACAGAAGAGGTAGCCAGGTCCAACAGAACAGTCTTACAAAAGGAGAGCCTTCCTATACAACTCCATCAACCAAATGTTACTTATTTTTGATAACACATCACTCTAATTTTCATTAAAATAAAAAAAATGTTCTCCTAGTGAGGCAGGACAGATCAGGAAAACTGAGGCATGGGAAATAGCAGCCAGGAATTTACAAATAAGCATTGTACCAACAGATTTACAAATAAACACTGCACCAATAGATTGATTAAAAAACTACAGACACTGCTTTCTTTGCTTGAAGCCTTACACCCTCTCAACAAGTCGCAACATTTGGTAAACAGAAAAGAAAAATTAATTATGCTATATGTCAGAACAAAGAGGAGAACTTTTCCTAAGGTAAATTCAAGCCAAACTCCCAACCTACTTTTTCATTATAAATATCCCTGATGTTAAACACTCATTGCACCTGTGAACAGATGGCGTCCACACCCATGTCTGGGATGTACACTATGTATCTGTCTTTCCTTCACTTTGCTTTATTAATAAACTTTCTTGGTCTCAATGTGTCCTAAAATTCTTTTTGTGACAACATCACAAAATTAGTTCACAAGAGCCAGGTGGAGGTGTCCTCCTTTTTGAAGACCTCCTCCTTAGAGCATCACCAGTTTCCATAACACCAGGGCTAGAGGTATGGCTCAAGTGGTAGAACAATAGCCTAGGAAATGCAAGGCATTGAGTTCAATGAATAAATGAATGAATAAGCATGACTTTTTTTTTTTAAAAGATGTGTTTAGAAACCTATAATTTTACTCCTGAGCTATTTGCAAATCTTGCTTGCTTTTGTGGTTTTTTTGACATCATAACCATACTGAACAAAATAACACATTGAAATTCACAGGGAGATTATCTCTGCAGAAGTATAACCACAGAAACTTCTAGGCAAGCAGATAAAAATTTTACATTAAAAATTATTACAAGAGTTTTACTACACTTAAAAAATCCACGCAGAAACAAAGTCAATTAAATTTTATTTCAATCAAGAATATAAAATAAATGCAATGCAATTTATCTTAGTTTTAACAGTCATTTCAAGAAGGATGTCAGGACAACTCAAAAGCAGAAACCCTTGGCTCTGAAACGGCAGCTTATCCCACAGCCCCTGGAGTGGGCTCTGCTGAGATGCAGCTGACTCAGAGCACACAAATCACAGCAAAGCATGGAAAGCTACAGTCATATCTATATCATACATAGAGGGTTGCGTGCAGAAAATGACTGAAAAAGACACAGGGACAGGTACACTTCACAAATAGAATTATCAGAAATACAAACTAGGCAGTATAGAAAGGATATACTACATAACACATATAAAAAGTACTTTCAATCATTGTTAAAAAGGACATCTTCAGTCCAGATTTTGTGTAATACTTTTAGTGTCTACCCAGACAAATGTTTAAAAAAATTAAATAGTATTAATTTACTAAATATTTAGGAGATAACAGTGCATTCAGGATTTTTTTCATATAATACATACATATCACTTCCCTTGCAGTGATAGCATAAAAGAGTAAGTATGGCCTTAGGTACAACACATTTTTAAAAAATCCTAAAACAATGACCTCTTTTTTAAATGATATTTTTGACTATTCTTAAAGATTCTGAGGTCCTAACCTGCTATGTTTTATAGAAAACATGACTTGTACTTGACTTCTTCAAGCCTCTGTTAGGCTAATGGGCATTTCACTGCCTTTCTCCATCTCCTAGGAAGTTATCACCATGGAGCTTAAGATTTGCAACTTTCAGAGAATTTTTCCTTCATTGTAGAGTTTCTGCTACATAAATTTATTCAAAAGCAAATCAAGCTGCAAGTCTTATTCTCCACCTACTTTTTCTTTTCTTTTCCCTTTAGCAGAGAAAACAAAATCGTTGTAGAGGCATAGAGAACTAGCAGTGGCTTCACCAGGAACAAGGCAGTGAACATATACAAAAATGCGCCCTTTTTATTCTTAAGAGTAAAAGAGCAAAAGAGTAGTGCAGAAGGCCAAAATTCTAAGTACTAAAGTTTCAAAACCACACAGATATAAAAATATACACGTTCTTGGTTTTTACATCTCATTGCATGAGCTACTTCATCACAAGGATTGCTTCAGCCTCATAGTACCAGCCCTACTGCCAAGCTACCTTACTTTAAGCTAGTCTGTCCTTTTTCTCAAAAAGGAGGCACCTCACCAGAAAGCTAACTCTAAAACTGATCTGTAAAGTGAAGAGCAGAAGACCTTTCACTCCTTCAATACCTCCTTGGTTCAGGTATTCCCACAGGCTGAGAGGTATCTTCCCCTCCCCCCACATTCCCAGAGGACATGATATTATCTAATAAACTTTCAGAGGAATGAAATTATTTGGGAACCATGGAGGTAAACCTTACCCTCAAAAAGACCCCACAGTCTCGGTCCCTTATGTGTAGCTTTGCTACCTTTAAAGAGAAAGGAAATTATAAACCAAAATTAGTTCCAAGGGTAATGGACACCAGTGAGCATCACCAATCCTGAGGCAAGAAAAGAGGGAAAAGGGGCCAGAACCAGTGCAGTGATAAGAAACCCAGTCATACATGTAATGGGGATTTCTGGCTATGTCCTAGAAAATACTGCATACTGGAAGCAACTGACAAAATCCCCTTATAGTTTATGTCAGTTCTACCAGTACAATTCATTATGTACAAGGAAGCAGGGCAGTCCTGTGAATGTATAAGCACATACAAAGATAGCATATCAAAGTTGCTTATAAATTATTAAGGGGCATGGTATTTTGGTTTATGTACAAATTTGGGGTTGCCTTTTTTTACTAAAGAAAGAGCTTCATTTTCACTGTCATTTCCTAAAACTACTTTGTAGAGTGTGTTTTGTCAACAAGGGCCACCCAATTGTTGAAGGCTGCTGTGAACATTTCAAATATACATGATTGCTTTTTGTGATATTTAATCACTGGCTTTCTCCTAAGATAGACAGACACAGAAACCCTTCCATAACGCTGTTTACTATAAAATTGGAAGAATAACTATCCACGTGCATTTAGAAGTAAAAAAAGGACCTTCATATTATAAGACAGTTTCACTTATATGTCAATCACATGCCACAGACATCCCAGGAGAGCTTACTTTTACTGAATAGACACAAGCTCCTTAAGGACAGGAAATATGCCCTGTCCTTTATGTTTTCCATTAGCACAGCACTGGGCAGAGCATATGGTGAGGGCGCAGTGAGCATCTGATGACCAGTAGCTCTCGACAGGCAGTGAGGCTTTAGGGCACAGAACAGAACTTTAGATAGGTAGCTACATTATGCAAGAGGCTGTTCCTTTCTTATTTTAAAAATGGAAGGGGTGAAATACCATGGAGACGATTAGAAATTCCTTCCAAGGGAGCATGTCAACTGTTTCATCTTTAATCATGAGGAGTGTACTATACAGCCTTTATTACTATTTATAAGCATTATTATGCTGAGATCAGTAAGATCCTGGCTGGCTACAGTATCACATCAATAGTGCAAAATGTATACTGGCTTCTAAAATCTTATTTTACTTGTATATGGACCCAGAGTATCATAACCAGGTAGATAAGTTCACAAAGAATAGTTTAAAAATGCATATAGTTTGCATATACAACAATCAGCTATTTCTTCTAGCTCAAGAAAACATTTAAAACAAGGCTGGTGCTGCTAGTAGCATTCAGAAGAACTTGGATTTTTTTGCCCCTTATTTTACAATGGGAGCTCTAAGTCTTTGCATTTCCTTTTGACTCTGGGAGTGAGGGGCTTCCTTAAAATGGCTAAGAAAGAACTCAGCCTCTAATTCATAGATAATGGAAATGCAAATATTCACTTTATCTGGTATAGTCTTACACAATCTGCCCATAGTTCTTAGGCACAATTATTAGGTTTTCTCCTAGGGGCAAAAAAAAGCATTCAGTGCAATGAAAAGATTCTTGATAGAATTAAGTTTCAGTAACAACAGCAAAATTATGCATACGTAATACATACTTTAAACATGAATAAAACCTAAATTTTTAACATGCTTTGAAAATAGTCACTCTTTCTATGCCTAATGCAAATACAAATGAAGAACACTGAGCTTTAGTTTAAAAGCAGATGAATTTACAGGCTTCTATCTGAGTACCCTTGATTATGTAAGAAAGTTACTCACACAGACCCAGATGTGAAGAAACGGAAGAAACCAATAGTTCACTCTACATATAATACACACTAAAAGCTTTTCCTTCAAGAGGAAGTAACACACCCTTTGATCATTACTCTTTAAAGAAATCCTAGTGCAGTTAATATTCTCTTCAGCTTTCTGGTGTGGATCACCAGAGGACTGTATTTTATCAAAGCTCTTGAAACCCTTTTTAAGGTAGACTTAGCTATATTAATGTTAAAATTATAATTCTTAATTACTGAATACTATTTGGAATACAATGATTCTGGGAACTAAGTTCCACAAGATTATATAAAAGTCACCACATACTTCAGTTCTTTATAGCATAAAGCATAGTAACTGCAAAGATCCAGGCTGTTTTTGGTTGTAGGTTCCCTCTGTCCCACCACTTGTCTTTTCACTAGACCTTCCCTGAAACTAAATAAATAAAAACATAATTAGTAAAGAACTTTGGGACAGTAAGTTTCTGTTTAAGACTTCCATGAGCAAACAGTTACAGTCTGTGAAAATTGAGTAGTGCTTTAAAAGGTGCATTTTTACCTGTGTTGTTAAATCAGTTCATGAAGTATAAAACTACACACCACTGGAATCCTGTTTCTAAAACTTTAAAATCCTATTAAAAGAGCTTTGAAAAGATAAATCAAATGATTGCTACAGCATGAGAAAGGTGCACCTGGAAATCCTTCAAAAAATGCTGAAGGTTACAGAAGTGCTGGGATTAGATCAGACACTTTATCAGAGAAGTCACAATGAACTCATGCAGGGAAAGGGGACAAGGAAACTTCACAAGAACCTTCTTTAACTCAATAAAGAAGAGATAAGAGTTCTGCAAAAACACTCAGTATACCAAGTTTTTCTCCCAAGTGTACGAGTTTTAAATGGCATCATAGCTTGAATTTGGGGGTTCTTGCAATGCAGACATCATATTGCTGGAGTCTGTGCTCTGGGCTGGCCTGGGTCAAGTGGAGGCAGCTGTTCAGTACCGGTGGGCCTGGTGAGATGGGTGGTACTGTGTACTCTGCTGAGACGAGGAGGAGTAACCTAGTGTGCTCTGGGACTGAGAGGATCCCTGAACGCTGCTTTGGTAATTCAGGCGAGAACCGGAGTGCTGGAAGGAAACAGGTAGAGGAGATTACGGACAAAAGAGTATGGCTCAAGCAGTCAATCACAGCAGGATGGAGATATAAACCATTTTTATATCCTATTTCAGATCCACAGTAACTGAGTGTTACCTTAGTTTGTTAATATATATTGCTGGTCTGAAATCACAGCCTAGACTTACTGTACCTCACATTCTGGCAGGCATGAAGTTTGGCTGGATTTCTTTGGAAGGTAAGCTACATAGGCAATGACAGGCAGAGGAAAAACTTACATGTTGACCCACCACTCTTTATACCGACTAACTGTGGGGTGCAATCTAACCCTTTGCATAACTGAGATTTGCACACAAGAATGATCAATTTGGCATATGGAAATCAATGTTATTTAGAAGGTATGTTGACATGTTATTAATTTTTTGATTACAGATTAAAAAAGCTATAAGTAATCATTATTTTAGAGCAGAGTTTTTAGAGGTAGATGCCAGGGCTATCAGCAGCCTCACCTACAAGACAAAGCAAGGTAAGGTTGGGTAGGATGTGGTAGCAACTAGGTAAGTTTTATAAACTTCAAATAACATTTAGAACAAAGCCCGTCCACCAATATATCCTATTTCCTGTCCAAAAAAAAAAAAAAAACAAAAAAACAACGCAATTTTCCTACATGATTGTCCTCAAGAGATCAGTACATAAATTTATTTCTCTTTCTTTTTTTTGTGGTTCTGGGGTTTGAACTCAGGACCTCATGCTTGCTAAGCAGGCACTCTACCACTTGAACCACTCCACCAGCCCTCTTTCTTTTTTAAACATGGGTCTTGCTATGTTGCACAGCCTGATCTTGAACTCTTAGGCTCAAAGTGATCATCAGCCTCCCAAGTACTGGGAGTACAGGTGTTGTAACCATTCTGGGCTTATATTACAATTCAATGTATGTTTATTATTTTAAATGGAACATTTTCATAAGGCAAATATGAATAAAATATGCAAAAGGAAAATTCAAATGTAAATGACCTAGAGGTGGCATTATGGATAAAGAAAAGACAGCTTAGTTGCAGAGCTTAGCAAATTGCCAGGTCCTAGGTTCAATTTCTGGCATCAAAACCAAACACACAAAATAGAAGGAAAACAAATCAGTAAGGTTCTCCCCCTCAGTGTGAGAAGGCTGCCAAACTGGACATGTAACACTTGGCCCAAGCCAACAGTGCAATAAGACAGTCTTCATTAAAAACAATTCATCCCTTCCTAACTTACATAAGTATCTGTGTTGGTAAAAGAAGCCTTTGAAATTTTTAGCTATGTTTCATTTTGGAGTTGTTTATGAAAACAAAAAACCCCTTTTCGTTCACTATTCGTTAGTGGCAATTTTGCTGGTAAATGTAACAATCTAATGTGGGTCGGGCATGGTGGCACACTTGGGAGGGTGAGGCTGAGGATCACAGTGTGAGACCAGCTTGGGCTACATAGCAAGATGCTATCTTGAAAACAAAATTAAAAGAAGAATCTAATGTAACGTATCTTTTTTGTTGTTATATCTTTTTTTAATGACAAGATTTCCTTTTTCAACAGAAGAAAAGCCAGTTTTCTCTTTTCAGAGTATTAATCATACTTACTTATGTTGATGCAGGAACCTAAAACCTTTGAAAACATTATGCATCCCATGAAGAACAGGAAAAGTTCTCCTTAAACAGAAAAATTAAGTCTGGCCTTTAATAATTCAAATAAACTTAACTCAGGGAGAATCAAATACAAGAAAATAGCACATGATCCTTTCTTAGATATTATTCAAAAATAACTACTTTTCATTTTAAAAATATTTATGATGAAACTGAAATCTAAATACAAAGATATTTTATCTCCAATAAAGTCCTAAAATCAGAAAATATAAGGAAAAAAGAAGAAAATGATAAAACTAATGTCCCCCAATTATTAGGCAAGGTATGATTACTTTTAGGCTTGAGATTACACTCAGCACAGTAGCTCTTCTGTAGCAGGGAGGAGGGCCAGAAAAGAAGCAAGCAAGTCTGTGTTCTGATAATGTAGCAGTGGGGAGGGGATGACACAGTTGGGAGATAAAACTTGAAAGAATCTAAATGTGAAGAAGGTCAGGTAGCATTGGGGATGAAGTAGCCATATATGGGTTAAACCTTGCTTTTTGCTTCTATAACTTGCTTGCAAGGGTATATAAGGTGAGACCCCTTTGTTCTCAGGGCTCAGCATTTGGATGTGAACTGCTGAGCCACTGGCAGCACGCTAATAAATATTGCTTCCTGAAAAGACTTGGTGCCTCATTTCCCCGTGTGAATATCCCATAACATTTCCTTATTTAGATAAACAACAAGCATGGTACCCATAGTAGCCTCTCCAGCTAAATCACTGAAATACCTATCCAGTTGATTGATAATGGTTTAAGGTTTACTTTTAAGTAGATGGAACAATATGGGCAAAGGAAAACATTTGAGAATTTTTGAATTTGAAAAAGAACAGAAGGAAATACAGTAATCTATCTATAACTATATTTAAAAGTAACAAAGACCTCTCCTTTGCTGTTGGGTCTAGAGACCTAAGGCAGATGCGCGAATATCCCATCCCCTCCATGGTACACTGATTCCTGCATCCTGAGAAGGGGTTGTAAATCTGCATTCCTGCATCCTGAAGAGGAGATACAGGGTCTGATAGATCTGCCACAGGGCTGATGAGCAAAATGCTCTTAAGATTCTTCCCCTCCCCTTCTTCCCCTCCCCTGCCCATAATAAGGAGTAAACAAACCAGTTCACCTAAGAAAGCCTGCAAATCCATGGCCAATGAAAAGAGCCCACCAAACCCAGAGTTAAAATGTCCATTAAAGCCCCAGCCTTCACCTGAGCAGCAAGCTACCGGTTTCCGGGCTGCACTGGACTGTTCTACCTGTATCCTTTCCTCTCTCTAATAAATCCTACTTTGTACACCAGCTTTGGCTCATCAATAAGCTGTCTCATGAGTCAGTTCTCTGGCCTGTGAAGGCAAGGACACCAACACTAACCCGCAACACTCCAAACTGGCATGTAACATTTTGGCGACCCAAAGAGACATTTCTCCTGGACCAAGCACAGTATGACTTGAGAGCCAAACCAACAGGGGCATGCCTATGGTGCAACCTTGAGTGCCTGTCGCCCTGCTGGATGCTCCAGCTGGGGGGAACCCCCAGCTGAGAACTAGCCAAAAGCAGACTTCCTTGCACTGCTAGCCCTCTCTATCTCTTCCTATTTTCCTGGGGACTTTCCTGTCATTGTATAAAACCAACAGCTCCGAGCCAACTTTGGCCTCATGGCAATTCTGGCTCTGGGTGTGTTTTTGCTCCCACCCTGTGGGCTGAGACCAAGCCCAGGGTTTATTCAGGTATGCCTTATGCTATGTTGGAGGAGATCTAATTGGTTGTGGCACCTGACGATTTTTTTTGTCTTTTCCCACCTGTCAAATACCCCTTCTGCTGGAGGCAGTGACCTGAGAGTGGAGATTTCGTGTGGCTGACAGTGTTCCAGTACCACTTGGTGGGAGCAATCTGGAAGAACATTTAATTGTTAATCCCTCAGGTGTGTATCCTGTCTCCAGGCTCTGCCTTCCTCTCCCTTACTTAAGATACCTAAGATGTCAGGACACCCCTTCTGCGCTAATTGGTTGTGGCACCTGACGATTTTTTTTGTCTTTTCCCACCTGTCAAATACCCCTTCTGCTGGAGGCAGTGACCTGAGAGTGGAGATTTCGTGTGGCTGACAGTGTTCCAGTACCACTTGGTGGGAGCAATGTGGAAGAACACTTAATTGTTAATCCCTCAGGTGTGTATCCTGTCTCCAGGCTCTGCCTTCCTCTCCCTTACTTAAGATACCTAAGATGTCAGGACACCCCTTCTGCTCCCTTCCCAGTCCCACCGCCTTGTCCTTCATCTGTCTGCCTTCCCCACCTTATGCTTACTGGGACGCTGGCCTCCAGTGGAAAACTCCCTACCATGTTACCTTATGACTTTCTTAAGTTACACCCATACCTAGTTTGTCATGTCTCTTGGTCTACAGCAACTTTAAATCAGCTGCTGGGCACCTGTGGAGGCAAAGGCGCTTACAAAAAACTGCAGCCACACCACACTCATGCCCTAACCCCACCCCCAGAAGTGAAGGAGAGAAAACAAACAGGTGCATGAGCACAGGGATGCTGGCCCCTGGGCACAGCGGTAACACCTGCCATAGCTAAGGCAATCCATAGAGAGGGCCCAGCGTGCATCCAAAGCTGCCAGCCATACATGAGGGTGACTATGACCCACCACCACTCCCCCTAAAAGGGATGAGAGGAGAAACAAATGCGCACAGGTGTGTGTACACAATGGAAGGAATGAGGGGCTGCAGGGGTAGGCCTAGGTAGACAGGGTCACTTGTCCTAGGCATGTGGGGGGATGGCGGCGCTTTGTACAGGCCCCATTCCTAGCCCCACCTTATGCCTTGGGCCTGACCAACCCACCCCTTGGAAGCCAATTCTTATCTCAAGGTTATGATCCCAAAAAGCTCTAATGTAACCTTCCGGGAACAGCAAAAATGGGCGTTGCCATGGTTTTTAAACGTCTCATTTAAAATTTCCTATACTTTTGGCCTCAGCATAAAAATTTTTTCCTCCAAATATTAACACTGGTCATCTCTTGTGGTACTGTGATTGCCCCAGGACCCCTCTGAGTACACTTCTCTAACCTTGCAGACACCTCTCCAGGTGATGCATCCCTTTGTTAAAGAGGCAGCCTGCTTTTGGCTAAAAAGCAGGATCCTAGAGTTGTGCTCTCTCTGAGTTGGTCAGGTGGCCTATTCTGACGCAGTCACTTCCTTTGGTCCTGGACATGGATGGCAAAAGGAAGTCACAATAGGGATGCTTAGTCTCGTAGTTAGGTCTGATCCCCAGTGGCACTGATAAAAGGGGAGTCTGACAAGTTCATGTAGATGGGACCTGCCCCTTCCAGTCTTCTGGCCTCAATACCCAAGCAGTCTCCATTGGCCTG